TATACAGGGCGAACTTTTTGATATGAATCGTCGAGATTAATTTTTCCTAAGGCAATCCTGGAATTTTTAAATTTTGAGGATATGAATTAAATGCTAGACACCAGTGTAAAGATCCACCAAAAAATTAAAGAAATCTAGTAATCCTTGTAGATTTTACGGCCATATAAAGTTTGGTCAAAATTCACAAAACACCCCGTATATTAATAACGAAGGGGAGTTGCCACTTTTTAATGCTCATATGATATACCCCTTAAGGGACTCTACATATGGTAGAAGTCTGTAAGGTTCCTCATGACTCACCCTGTATATCAGCAAAAATATATTATTTGGACAAGTAATAATAATTTAATAAGTTTTATTCTTCCTTTTATTTTTTATCAGCTTTTTTATTTTTAATTAATTTTGTAAATAACAAAAATCAATTGTTAATTTCAAAATTTTAATGCGGTAATGACATTAGAGAGGGACACAATTTAGTATACCTGTAACTCCCTAATTTCACCTGACCTAAGCCATTCTAGGCTAAAATCTTATAAAATTTCAAAAAAGGTTGACTAGAAGTTGTCTATGGAGTGGTATGAAATTTCTGTTAAGGTTCAGTTGAGTGTTGAGACAAAGGATATTGTTGTCTCTTTCAAGGTTAATTTCAACATCTTTATGGAAATCTTATAAGTTAAATTTTTTTGTGTTCAAGTTGACTAATTTGTCCGGCCTCTTGATGTGCTCGCCTGTCCGGACTCCCAAAGATCTGCAAGTTCTGCCAATATAACTGGCATCGCAATCGTTGCATTGCAACCTGTACAAATTTGTTTTATCTTTGGTGTTGACTAAATGAGAGTCTAATTTATTAAATGATTTGAGTGAGACTTTAATGTTATCTAAGTTGTTAGCAAACATTTCTGAGATGCTCTAAGCTAAGTTATTTTCCCAGAACGGAATTGATATGTCAAAATTATTTGTATGACTCAAATTGGGGTAGGCTAATTTTTGAATTTTGTTGAATTTAATTTTAGTGATTAGAGATTGAATTATGTCCGATGCAATTTGTTTAAGTGTATTTAATTCTTGAAGATAGTTAGTTTTATTTAGAGGGATTGATAGAAGTCTATGAATATAGCAATAGAAAGCAGACATTTTATGTTAGTGAGGGTGATTTGAAGAATAGTGTATCACGTTGTGTGTTTGGGTGGGTTTTCTATATATGCTAAATTCAATTTTGTTACCCTGCCTGTGGATAGAAAGGTCCAAAAAGTTCAAACAACATTCGTTTTCGGCTTCCAGAGTGAATTTTATATTGGGATGGATAGTGTTAATTGAATTTAAAATATTAAAAGCCGTGTTGGCACCACCATTTATTAGGCAAAAGATGTCATCCACATATCTGTGGTAAATTAAAATATTCTTATGTTATGGAATAATGTAGCTGATTTCTAGATTGTTCATGAAGATATCCCATAGCAAGGCCATCCGGTTGTTCATAGGTGATGTTGTTGAAAGTGATAAGCACAGGTTTAAAAATTGTAAAATGATGGTTGTGTTATTGACAGAAACGTTTGAACTTCTCAAGACTTCTCGAACCTTGGGACCGAGATGTACAGGTTACTAACATCGAAAGAAACCATGGTGCAGTTGTCAAGGATGTTGAAATTTTTGATTTTATTACAAAATTCTAAACTATTACTTACCGAATTGGCTGGTTTGAATTGTGTGAGATCATGAATTAAGTTGCAAATAAAAGTGGTGATTTTTGCAACTGGAGTATTGATGAAACTTACAACTGGTCTAATGGGTATGTCCGTCTTGTGGATCTTTGGAAGTCCGTAAAAGCAAAGCATGGGGTATTGGATGGTACCTTCCAATTTGAAGCTTAAGAAACTAAAAAATCTTTGTTTAACTTAAGTAAGGCTTTAGTTCTTCTCATGAAAGTATTGAAAGGGTTATAAGCCAAGATATTAAAGTTATTTTCTGTCAGAAAGGTATTTACTTTATTTAAGTAGTCAACTTGATTAAGAATTACTAAACAATTGCCTTTATCAGCTTATGATGTGATTAATTTGTTGTTGGCTATCTTAGTTTTGATGTTTTTTAAAAGTTTTTGTTGATGATGGACTTGCAAGTTTTGATGTTTGTTTAGCTGTTTTTTGTAGGCATAAAGTTTATAAAAAATATCCTTTCTGATTAGATGTTTATTAAAGAGTGAAGGTAAGTATTCAATGATGGAATGATAAAATACTTATATAAAATTTTATTTTATGGAAAATTGAGTAAAATGTAAAAAGTAAAAAGTAAAAAGTGCGGGTAAGGCCACAAGACTGCAAAATTAGAGTACTTTCCTTTGGCTCAATAAGTGGACCTTGTTTAGTTCAAGTGCGAAAAATATAAATGCTCTGGACTTCAATACGACACATCCTCAAGCAACTAAAGCCATTGTGAAGCAACATTACATGCAAGACTACTTGGAGGGAGCAGACACTCTTGAGGAACCTCAAGAGCTCGTCTAAGATGTGATGTATATCTTTCGATGAAAATTTACAATAAAGAAATAGTTCTATTAACATAGAAATAGATACCATTAACTTGTCAAAATTTCTGTCATCTAGTATTACTAATTTGAAATTTTTTTGAAGAAAAACCCAATTGTCACATTTATTTTTTATTTATCCTCACACAACCACCATCCATGTGTACGAGTAAATTTAATGCATCTACAGATTCCGTTTAAGATTATAAATCGAGAATGTCTACTTGTAGCCGGTAAGTACTAATAAGAATGAAACCAGTCCAAAAATGGCGTTCCCTTTGGTAAGAAAAATCATAGTAAAGCGTTGAAAATAATTTTATACCCCTGCAGTTTTTCTTTAGTTATAATTCAGTGCTTGTTGCTGTATTAGCCAACGGACTAGTGGTTTTTCCTAGGAAAACGGTTGCTCGTATTGTCTCATAATAGATAGCTTCTTTATTTTATAGCTGAAGCTGTGGACAATAAACAACAGGTTGATGTCATATACACTGATTTCTCCAAGGCTTTTGACAGGATTGACCACAAAATAATAATTCATAAATTAAATAATTTTGGTTTTAGTGCTTCTCTCATTACATTAATAAAATCATGTCTACACAACAGAGGACAATTTGTTGCTTACAACGGTTACTATTCTAGAATATATTGCCCTACATCAGGTGTTCCTCAAGGGTCTAATTTGAGACCCTTGTTTTTTTATATTATTTATCAATAATCTCTCCACATCATTTTGTAAACATTTATTATTTGCTGATGATTTGAAAATTTACTCAAATATAACTCAATTATACTGTTTATTTTTACAAGAAAAATTGAATAAAATCTCTGATTGGTGTACAAGTAACAATCTCTTCCTAAATTTGGATAAATGTAAAATTTGTACATATGGTCGCAAGGGTTACGCAGATGCGAGATCTTGGAGTCACATTTGATTCTAGTTTTGCAATTTGTAGAAAATATTAATAATATACTTTCTGAGTCTTCTAAAGTCTTAGGATTTATTATAAGAAATTGTAGAACTTTTCTAATGAAATTGCTCTAAAAACGCTATTTTTTGCGCTCATAAGAACAAAACTTGAATATGCATCGATTGTTTGATTTCCGCATTATCAAGTGCATATAAATTTATTGGAAAAAGTTCAACCCAAGTTTCTTAAATTTTTATCTTGATGGACTTGATGGAATTTATCCTGCAAGAGGCGCTTTGGCCATATTTCTCGTACATCCAGCGCCCGACGCTTTTTTTACAATAATACTAGTATTTTCCATTTATTATTGTTTTAAGCTTATTTGAAAAATTATGTATAACTTTTTATTTTGATATGCTCTAAAAGCGTGTTTTTTAGTTTTTTTTAAACTATATTTATTTTTTCCCTTGTATACATATATTTTTTTTGTAACTTTAATATGTTAAATAGTGTTTGCTAACTGTATGGTATTGTCTATATCTTTAATGTGTAACTGTATTATACTAACATGTATGTATTCTAATTTATATTGTCTTGTAAATGGAGATTCTTTGTTGGACAATGAAGACTTTATTTATTTATTAAAAATTTAATTAATATTACTTCTTTCGTCATGTCTTAATAAAATATTTATCGGCGTACAAGCCACTATCAAAGCCACTATCCCTTTATCCACCTTCATCAGTAATTAAATTTTCTTATATCAATAGCAGGAAGTTTCTCCAGATCAACCCATAATTAATATACTAAATTCCATGTAAAGGCGAGTTTTAGTAGGCAGACTAATTAGTAATTAGTGACTAACTTTGAACTTGATTAGCCAGATATAATCAGTGTTTGCTGTATATTTCTTTGAGGAAAATTTTAATTAATTTGGTTGACATTAGAGTTGCAGCTTTTAATTTTAAAAATAACGCAGGAAATATGCATATTTACAATTAATATATTTTTTTTATTTGAAAACCTACTATTGTCTGGCAATCAGCATAATTGTGTACTTTTATTTTCGTACGTTTTATGTGCTCGTATTATACAGGATTGGGGAATTATGCCGGAATATATTATTAGTGGAGAAACGAAACTTGAATTAAAAAATTATTTGGAAAAAACATGGCCACTTCAGTATAGCTAGAATAGTTTTTATTCACAAGATAGTGCGGGAGACTTATCTTGCGAATCAGATTTATGTTGTAGTTTTTGTTATACCCTTGTATTATTGTGTTTTAGTAGTTAGCAAAAACAAAATAATTATTATGAATTGATTGTGACTTTTACAAAAAAATTAAATTGTCATTAAAGATAGATTTTTAATCCATTTATTGAAGCTTTTTCCACATTTGTGGTGACCGTGACAGGACTGTTTTAATTTCCGTGGAATTTTTTTCGCTTTTCATGGAAAGGGCTAAGAAATCAAGGAAAGTTAGCAGAGCTTCTTTTTCCAAGCAGTCTAATATTATTACTGAAAAGTTAAAAGACAAACCATTGCGTATAGTTGAGGTAAGTTTTAATGAATGCTTTACGAGATCCGTAATTTAGACGCAAGCATATTTGAAAACATGCTAGTGAGTGACGCCTCAGAAGAGCAGTTAGAATTAGAAACTGAAGTAGTAGATAAATATGTTAGTAAGTTTTACTTAAAGAACAAACAAATGCACTTCATAAAAGGAACACTTCTGAAGCTGATAGCGAAAGCACTCACACGGCTTCCTATAAGGAGTCAGAGGTTTAAGTTGCCAAAAACAGAGGTACAAAAATATGCTGGCGATTTGGAAGGTTGGTTTGAATTTTGGAAGTTATTCAAGAAGATACACGAAGATACTGGTATTGATAATGAAGAGAAAATTCAGTATTTTATTCAGTCTACGAAAGCTGGCTCCAGAGCACATAAGTGTTACCAGAAGAAAATTATTCGATAGCTATTGAAGCTTTGAAACGAAGATTTGGACGCGAAGATTTACTAATTGAGATGTATATAAGAAAACTCCTTAAGGAGGGTATGCTTTTGATAGGGAAATTTGGGCGGTCTCTGACAAAAAATTTAAATCTTTTAAATGCTTAGAAACAAGTAGAACAATAAATTCAATTTGGTAAAGTTTCATTTTAATTATTTTAATGACTAAAGAAGTGACATTTTATTGTTATTGTTGTTACTGTTGATAACAAAAAGTGTGAATCGTTTTCTTTTCAATTCGTTTATTATTTAATTAGTTAGCATATTTTTTTTATTATATCGTTTTCTGTTCAGTTCATTATTTAATTAGAATATTTTTTTATTGCATCATTCTCTGTTTAATTCGTTTATTATTTAACTATTTAGAATACCTTTTTATTTTTACAATTTTTGTATCTATATTCGATAATTTTACATGGCCCCAATAAAGTGTTTTGGGTCCGATGGGTACATCAATAAAAAAGGTACTTCAAAAGCGGCCAACAATGAAACCTACCAGAAGTTTCTACTAAATATTCGAGCACGCAGAGAAATTGACTGGGTAGAGCCTGAAGAAAAGTTAAAAGCAAGATATTTGGCATAAAACCGAAGCAACAATATCTTATTAGCAAAATATTCCACAATGTTCTTAACTCACAGTTCACTTTGTTCCTCTTCATCTTGGTTACCAACATATAACTCGTCAGGAATACGCTACTTATCACAGTACCACTACCTCAAATCATTTATGTCACGTTAATCCTGATTTATTGGTAGCTCTTGTTGATGCCACATACTTGAACCACGAAAAAGCTATTGATCATCTTTCTCAGCGAATGACATATGCTTTTCCAAAACGGTCGATATTTAACGCTGTGGCTGTTAACGAGGACGGATTTTTTCATTCAAGAAGGTGATAGCATTGTATATGATCGCGGTTATCGAAACTCGATGCAGTTTTGTCAAAATATGGGACTAAATGTTTTTATGCCACCTTTTTTTTCCAACGGCCAACATCAACTAACTACTTAGCAAGCAAATCAATCAAGACTTATTACTAGAACTAGAAATATATGCAAAACGCCATATTTTGCATATGTTGCATATATATACAATTTTTGATTTTGAATGCATATATTGACATTTTGTTAATTTTTTTGGCATATATCTGACGTACTAATTGGCTGGATATATTAAAATTATGAGTTTTGGACCAAAATAATATTTTGTGAAATGCCTTTACAGGTCGATTTCCTAAAATTTTGAAGGATTAACTTTTACCTGTAATAAATTACGGTTAATGGTGTAGGTACTTGAGAGGATTAAATTATAAACACCATCCTTAAACCAACAAATTTTGCTAAATATTCTTTCAGGTAGTTGTATTAATATCTTCAAATTTCTAAATGACTCAGTATACTTTTAACTTCATTTCGGTCTTTATTGTTGTGTTATGTTAACCAGTGGGAAAAATGACAAAATTAATTGAGTCGTGGGTAAAATCTTATTCAGATTTTGTTGTAGAAGGTGATAACCAGGTGTTTTGTAAAACATGTTCTAAAATTGTAAGTACTTTTTTATTTTATATTTTATTTTGACCTTTTACAATGGTAAATCAAACGACAGTAAAATATTATTTCAACTCACAGTTAAAAAAAAGTTGGGCAACTTTACAACGTAAGCATTTATTTAATTTAATTAAAACTTCAACATCTACAGGAATTTATTTGTTTTAGATTCCATGTAAAAAAAAGTTTCAAATCGACCAACACGCGAAAACACCCTCACATATAGCAAAGTAGAAATTTAAAGACACTTGCAGACAAAGTCAACTTCCCTTGAAACAATATTTAGAATCTGGATCGTCTAGAAGTAAACAAGTTATTTTTAATGAAGATTTATGCAAAGCTTTAGTGACTTCGAATATCCCTTTAAGGGTCGGTCTTTTCACCTTCAGATAAAGTATCAGGTAATTTTTATCTCCCAAGTAACTTAAAAAGTAATCTTTTAATTTCTGGGTAAACCTAACTTTCTCAATGATAAATTATCTTATTTATGAAATTTCTAATAAAATACTTCACTGATGGATAAACAGGTAGTTACATAACCTACATAACCACATAAGGTCAAAAACTACTGGATACCTACCACACATATTATTTATTTGAAAAAACAGAACAGTAATTATCTGACAGACAGTAACTCTCAGATAATATATCCGTCAGTTGGTTATCTGAAACTTTATCTGAAGGTGAAAAGACTGACCCTAATACGATTAAATAATCCAAATCTCCGATTATTTTTGCAAAAATACTGTAAATTTAATATTCCAGAGCAAAGTATATTACGCAAACGTGGTGTTGACAGTTTGTACATTGAGAGCCTTGAAAAAATTCGTGAGATTACCATTGGAAACCATTTCTACATTATTGTGGATGAAACAACAGACTCTTGTGGTCGATATATAGCCCATTTAATGATAGGTTCATTACGCGAAGAAATGCAAATTGGTCCATATCTAATCGCTTCAAAGCAATAAGATAAAACAAATAACTTGACAATAACTCGTTTTATCATGACAGATTTGTCTTCCTTTTTTCTTCCGGAAGCCGTTCCAACAGAAAAATGTTTATTGCTGTTATCCGATGCTGCCCCGTACATGGTAAAAGCCGCACAAAATTTAAAAATCTGATGTGTCCAACACATGACTTTCATATCTAGTTATTATAGGCATTTTCCGGTTATTTTGTACAACCTATTGCAGCATCTCTATAAATGTTTAGAGGATAAACTAAATATCTACATTTTACACATACATTTACCTCGAAACATTTTTCTATAGATATTCATTGAAAACGAAAATACTGAAAAATTTAAATTTAGCACTTTTCCATTACGGTCGATTTTAGAAAAATCATGTATAAACAAAAATTATAGAAATCGATATCACAAACAACTTTTAGTTCAACAATTTTCATAAAAATCAGAATTTTGCATATTTTGTCAAATTTCTCGAATACGGATCATTTCAGGAAATTTTGACATAAAGCAAAACTTATAGATAATAATATTAGAAGTAACTTTTATTTGAATAATTTTCTTCTCCAAACATAAATAATAGATATATTCCATAAAATATAAAAACGGCCTCCCATAAAGTACCCCCCAGATGTTCCGACTTTGTCCAAAATCTAATCATTTCACGTCAGGCCGAAATAAACCTTAAGTTTAAAATTTAATGTTTTTTCGTTTATCCGTTTTTGAGTTTTCTTCAAATTTCGAAATTTACACATTTTCTCAAATATCTCGAATACGGTCCATTTTAGAGAAATTATGTATGGGACAAAAATTATAGAGAAATATATTACAAACAACTTTTATTTAAACAATTTTTATAAAAATTTTTTTTTACATTTTGTCAAATTTCTCGAATACGGACCATTTTAGGAAAATTTTGTATAAAACAAAAATTATAGATACACACACACAAGCACACGCACGCGCACGCGCACGCGCACGCACACGCACACGCACACGCACACGCACACGCACACGCACACGCACACGCACACGCACACGCACACGCACACGCACACGCACACACACACACACACACACACACACACATCATCGCGAAAATAGTCAAAACGGATTCAGGGGATCTCAAAACGTAAAAATCCGTCGAAAACTCGAAGTCGAAAAAAATCATGAGTCTTATACTTTCCTTATATCTGTATACAGATAGGAAAGTAAAAATGTTTTATGAAAACTTAATCCATGTTACATGTTTGGCTCATGGCCTTAACAGAATTGCAGAAGAAATTAGGTCTAACTTTCCTTTAATAAACGATTTAATTTGTAATGTAAAAAAATATTTCTTAAAGCTCCTCTAAGAACTCAATTGTACAAAGAAAAATTTCCTGAATTACAGATGCCACCGGAACCTGTGATTACTCAGTGGGGTACCTGGCTTAAAGCTGCCTTTTTTTACGCAGATATTTATGAAAAAATTAAAGAAATCATATTTGATTTTGATAATTCATCTAAGGGAATATCTAATACAAGTTGTTTCAAAATCACATATTACCAAAGCAATTAGTGTTTTTAAAAAAATTATGCATTTGTACCCAAAATTATATTAGATTTAGAACAAAAAAAAATTACCTTTGGTGACTTCCGTAAATTTAATTAAGACGTTTGAATCAGAGTGTAAAAATGTCCAGGGCGATATTGGAAAGACGATTTTTCATAAATTTTCAAATGAAATTTTAAAAAATGAAGGATTTATTGTTTTAAGAAACCTTGCTAATATTTATTTTGGTAACTTTGAAGATATTAATACTATTCATCCAGATATTTCAGGAAAATTTAAGTTTGCACCTATTACTTCTGTAGATGTCGAAAGAAGTTTTTCTTTGTACAAGTACATACTTACTGATAGGAGACAATCATTTAATACAGATAATTTAGAAAAACATCTAATTGTTCATTCGTTTTATAATAATGTTGATTTGTAAATAAAATTAGTTAATAATTAAATAATTATTAAGTATTATATTAGGTATTGTAAAATAAAACAAATAATAAATATTAATAAACTATTTCGATCAAATAACAAATTACTCTTATTGCATATGCTCTGCATATTTTTCAATTTTTTACGCATTTATTGAAGTATTTTGCGGCATATATATGCGCATATTTAACTACTTTTTGGGTGCATATATTCCTAGGTCTACTTATTACAATGGTCAGATGGGTAATTGAAGCGGTTTTTGGAAGACTTCAAAATAAGTTTCGGTTTCTAAGAAATGGTGTGTCAAACAGTTACGGATGTAAAACATTTGGAAGCATTTTTAAAGTAATATATGCTTTATCTGTTTTTTGTGCCAATAAATGAAAGTGGGCCTGAATATGACACATTTTACACTATATGCAGATGACACATCAGCTCTTGTCTCTGACAAAAATGCCCTTACATTAGAA